TAAACAGTACAACAAAAAAGTCTCAGTTACAGCAAGAAACGAAACTGTTTCGAAAATTTAGCAAATAAAATAACGCGACCTACTCATACAGCACATCCATGTTATATAACAAGCTTACTGTGTGTCGCGGTTTAGTAGATGCTCAGCTCCTGATTTTACACGCGAATTCACATAGTTTTCATAGCCTAGTTTTTACACATTGTCTGCAAGTGTTAATTTTCATATGTGCGTGTGCGCCTATTATGAAATTGTTTATAAAATTGTAGGTAACAATTGTTGGCTTTTGTTTTTTTTTTATACTTTCGTTTATTTTTTAGTTTTGTTTTTGCAATATTTAGGTACTTTTTTGCAATTTTTCGCCAATTTTAAGGCAATTTCTTTAACAAGGCAATTTATTTACATATTTTGTTGTTTTTTTTTTCAAAAATTTCTTTCTAACTAATTTAGTATTTAAGTTTGAAATAATGAAGCTCACAGCCGGTTTCACGAAAACTTTTAATTTTCTGCATTTCATCGTTATTCACATTTGGCATACCAAATGTTGGTAAGAGTAATCAAGAATGTTAGTAAGAGTAACAGCTGATTTATCTAAACCAATAAATTGTAGTATTGTCAAATCAGCTGATAGTAAAACGTAAACATAGTTGCATATGACCGTATTTAAATGGCAAAGCATTTCCATTTAAATAAAAATTAATTCAAATGGCGAAAGTGAAATTAATTATTTTTCACTTAAATTAAGTTCGTGACACCGGCTGTTAGAGGTTAGCATTTGCAAAGACGAAGCGTTTGAATTAACAAAAATTTAATGTATTTCTCCGCCGCTTTTGCTGACGACGCAGTGTTTATGACGAGATGAAAGCATACCATAAGGTGAATTTTTCAAAATATGTTTATCATCATTTAATATAAATGAAATTGATTTTATGAAACTTTTAGAATGTATAGAATTACAAAACCAGCACTTATAGTTTTAACATACTATTAAGGATTTGAAATCTCAAGTTTGTTCAGTTCAACCCATTTTCAATTTAACCTAATTTGTATTAAGCAATTTTAAGATGTTTATTCGTCAACACTTTCCGAAAAGTAAAAAAAAAATAATAAAGTTCTCTTTTGTCTTTAGCTTTCTTTCTATACAATAGCAACAAAACTACTCGAAAAGTTACAAGTTATTTCTATTAACCAAAACTAATTTTAAAAATAAAAAAATTAAAAAAAAAAATTGTTTAATTAAAAAAAAATTTTATGAACAAAAGTTACAAAAAAGTTTAAAAAATGTTTAATAAAAAAATTAAACAAACTAAACTTTCATAAGTACTCTAAACATATTTTCCTTAGTTTTAACATTTAATTAAAAAATTTAATTAAAAAATATCAGCCTTTAACTAAAGCAAGATTGAAGTAACTTAGCATTCTCTCGCTGCGCATGGTTGCATTTTTAATGTGTAATTGCTTTTCACCAATACATATTAGTACTTTCTGGACACACATTTGCATTTAATTATATTTAAGACAGCTTAGCAATTGCTAACTGTTTAGTTTTATTATATACATTTCTTTCGCATACGATTTTTTTTTCTTGCATTTGCTTTGTTTTTACACATTCAGAATTAGCTACGCATTAATGATATATGTTACCTAAAGGTTACTAATTTTTGTTTTGCAATTAAATTAAAGCACACGTTTAAAACACCATTTATCCATTCATTAGATAATATTTTTTGGTTTTTATAATTTGTTCTAAGGTGCAAAAACACTTTATTTTTTTATTGTCTTCTGAGAGCAAGTAAACTCCCAAGACTTTGCTAAATGTGTAAGAGATAAAAAAATAAATGCTTACGCTCGCTCTCTTTTCCTCTATTTCTCTCTCTCTCTCTCTCGAACTCGTTCTCTCGCTCTCTGATTGGCTGCCCCCAATACACAATTGCTTCACGATTTTTTCACTCGCATATTATATATACATAAATATATTTTTTGACTTGGGTTTCAAAATTGAAAACTTTTTCTTTTCAAAATATAAAAATACACTAATTTATAGCCATATGTGCTCAATAATTAGGTTTTAATAACTTTTTGCACATGTGGTAAACAACAAATTGTTAATTAATTTAATAATATAGTAATTTTATAAAAAAAA